AAACATTTTTTTTTCAATTCATTATGGATCATTTCCCAATACTCTTTTACCCTTTTACAAGTCCACCACATATTTTAAAAAATTTGCTTTTTTTCTCAAGGGTTGTTTTATTCTCTAGTACAGAGAGAGGAAAACTGTGGCCTTCCAGATGTTGCTGGACTACATGTCCCATCATCCCTGGCCACTGGCTGTGGATGATGGGAACTGGAGTCCCACCACATCTAGAGGACCACAAGTTCCCCATCACCAGGAGAGATGCTAGAGGGTGGTACAGGGACCCCAAGCTCTGGACATCCTGCTGCCAGGGAGACACCATCCAATCCGAAGCTTAACTGGTCCAGAGGGAAAGGTAAAACCATAGCAATAACGGGAGAGCCCTTCCCACATGTAGCATTGCTGGAGGAAGCAGGATAATGCTGAGGTCCACTACCACATAAGAAGAAGAGTTTGGATTTGATATTCCGCCTTTCACTCCCTTTAAGGAGTCTCAAAGCGGCTAACATTCTCCTTTCCCTTCCTCCCCCACAACAAACACTCTGTGAGGTGAGTGGGGCTGAGAGACTTCAAAGAAGTGTGACTGGCCCAAGGTCACCCAGCAGCTGCATGTGGAGGAGCGGAGACTCAAACCCGGTTCCCCAGATTACGGGACTACCGCTCTTAACCACTACACCACACATAAGGAGCCGTGATGTTGGTAAAACAAGCACAGGAAACTCCAGTGAACACGGTCCTTGAGACTTACATTACAAGATAAAAATACAATAAATAAAATATCTCTTATAAGTTTACTAGTGGGACAAGTACCCACTATCTGAAATTCAGAAAGAGAGCTGGGTGGATATATGTTTCTGTTATGGGGGTTTGTTTTATACAGATGTACGGAGGGCCTTCTCGGCAGTGGCACCCTCCCTGTGGAACAGCCTCCCATCAGATGTCAAGGAGATAAATAACTACACAACTTTTAGAAGATATCTGAATGCAGCCCTGAATCAGGAAGCTTTTAATGTTTGATGTTTTATTATGTTTTTATATGTGTTGGAAGCTGCCCAGAGTGGCTGGGGCAACCCAGTCGGATGAGCGGGGTATAAATAATCAAATTATTATTATTAATAATATTAATACTAATATTATTACAGCACTCTTTTTACACCTCTCAAGCTTAGGTGCAATGTTCTTATTTCTAAACTGGGAGGGTGTTTTCTGGAAAGTCTCCCTCCTGCTTAATTCCTCCACAATATAGTGCACATCATGCGGGGCTCAACTAACTTTCTTGAGTTATCTGCTGCTCTGCACATGTGGCATTTTTCACCTTTCCACTTGGGGCTCCGATTGTGCTGACCTGTTGTTGCTGGATATCCTGTAGTTGGTACTGACTGGTGACAGTGGGCTTGAAAGCACATGCAACAGCTAGATCAGGAAGGGAAGGAAACCCATGTATGTGTGTGCAAAAGAGAGAAGTCATGTTAGATATATTGGACAACGTATGTTTTCAGTTGTCATAAGCAACAGTTCTTGCCAATGGATTATATGTGGGGAACAGAGTGTACATAAAGTGTACTGGACCCAGGAAATCCTGTAGCTCAGATAAATGCCTTGACAACCAAAGCTAGAGTTTAGTTTATCTCTCTCTGAAAGCCAGCCTAAATCGGCATGAATATAAATAAATTTACGTCATGAGCTGGAGCCAAGCAATACCCCTATCCACTGCTGTTCTAGTAAGTGGTTCTCCTTGTACTTCTGTATACTTCCTCTTGGAACGACCTGAATGAATCTTTTGGATCCCTGGCAGTCCATGGACCGCAGTCTGGGACCTCCTGGTTGTCTAAGATCTATTAAGTTGTTCTCTTCTTGCATTTCCACAAAATGTGGAATGTTTTAGGATCTCCACCCCTAAAATATAATAGAAAACAGGTGTATCAACAGCCATTAGCCAACAAACCTAAATGAAACATTCAAGTTCTAGGTAAGTACAGTGGTACCTTGGTTCTCAAACTTAATCTGTTTCGGAAGTCTGTTCCAAAACCAAAGCGTTCCAAAACCAAGGCGCGCTTTCCCATAGAAAGTACTGTGATGCAAAATGGATTGATCCGTTCCAGACTTTTAAAAACAACCCCTAAAACAGTGATTTAACATGAATTTTACTATCTAACGAGGCCATTGATCCATAAAATGAAAGCAATAATCAATGTACTGTACTATAAAATAAATAAAAAAATATTGTAGATGATAAAAATTACAATTACAATTTTTTCTTACCTACACTGATGATAGTCATTTTTGGGGGGGCTTTTATCCATTTCCACAGTCACACAATCAATCAATCAGTAGCTGAACTGGGATCCACACAGTCACAAAAACAAATTAACTGAAAAAGCCTCAAAACAAAAAACGCAAAATAAATAGCAAAAACAAAAGCACCAAATATAAACTCCAAATATCACCTTAGAACACTGCAATCGGAAACGGAAGGCTTGGGTTACAATGGGAGGGACGCAAACTAGCAGCACAACAGGAAACACAGGGGGACACAAAACGGAGCACATTTTGCTTCCAAAAAAAAGTTCGAAAACCGGAACACCTACTTCCGGTTTTGCAGCATTTGGGTTCCAAGTTGTTCGTGAACTAAGCTGTTCGAAAACCGAGGTACCACTGTACTAGGTATTGACCATCCATCGCCATGTCCTTCTTGTGAGCTTCCAGGACACCTGTCTATGTAAGCTTGGAAACAGAACGCTGGAATGCAAGAAGCATATGCTCGTCCCACCAATTCTCTTGCAGCTCCTACAGCTGGTCAACATAGTGGCTTAGACACTCAGGTACAGATTCGGGTGGTCTTAGACACCTTCATGAAGGTGAATCTTATGGAGTTAAGGATCCTTACTGCTTTAAGAATCACAAATCAATGTATGTGGCTGAATCAGAACCAGCCCCCCCCCAATATTTTTTTTCATATAGCCGTTTTGTCAGATAGTTAACTAAGAGAGAATTTCATGGATGCATGGCTCCTGTATATGAGTATATAATGAGTATATAACCAGACTTAATCCACTTAATTTCCTTTTGGACTGGGAAGAAACCAAAACATATAAATCAACTTACGCAATAAATATTACATCATGATCTGAAATGCCAGTGGAAGCTGAAGGATTAATGTTACACGTATTATTTTCTGTTCTTGCATTTTATAAATGTATGTTTATATAGACAACATAAAAACTGAGGAAGATCCTATGTGTCAAACACGTTTGAACATTCAAAAGTGCTATACAGGTGCGAAGTACATGACTCATACAGCAACTTTTGCCATCTCATTTCGAGGTCATGACCATGTTAAATCTTAAACATGAATTCCAATCCAAGCCAAACATTTCTAAGCTCTTCTTCTTAAAAGAATAAATTCTTCTTAAAAGAAGAATAAATTCTGAAAGCAAACACACATCCATCTGAAGCGCAGAATCTGGGATTCTGAAGCAGCTTCCACACAAAGTATACACAACTCTGAACTCTGAATCTTCCCCCTTTGCAGATTCCTCAGAGAGCCTGTTTATTATACGCTGCAAAATGTTTACAGGCAGTTAGTCACTCAGAGCTCATGGTACGGTCAGAACATACACCAGCCGTGGGCCTTGCGCTAGAAAAGCCATTGGAAAGTATTTAAGCTACTTATGCCGGAAAAATAACTAAAGGACGTACAAAGATTTCAACCAGATTGCATCATTTCAGAAGCAGGGTGACTTGGCTAATCCAGCACAACGTTATCCATGAACTACAAAGGATTTTCAAAGGTCTTGCCTTTCCTCTCTCACTAATGAGAAATAAAAAGTCAAAACGCAGCATATCTTGAGCACAGTCCCGTATGTTTACTTAGAAGTAAGGCCCGTCCTGCTCCATGGTGCTTACTGTCTATAGGTTGATTTATCAGTGGTCCTTGGAGTTTTGTGCTGCTGGCTACAAGAACTTAAAAGTTCCTGTAGACCAGGGAGTCCCAAACTGTGGTCCATGGACCACCAGCGGTCCACAAGAATCATTCAGGTGGTTCGTGGCATGTCTGCATTCAATATTCATACCAATTTTAAACTGTATTATTAGTAATAGCAAAAGGTAAAGGGACCCTTGACCATTAGGTCCAGTTGTGGCCGACTCTGGGGTTGCGGCGCTCATCTCGCTTTATTGGCCGAGGGAGCCGGCACACATGTGGCCAGGAGCAGAGACCAAGCAATGGGAGCTCACCCCGTCGCGGGGATTCGAACCACCAACCTCTGATCGGCAAGTCCTAGGCTCTGTAGTTTAACCCACAGTGCCACCCATGTCCCATTAGTAATAGTACATAAGCCAAAATTACTGGTACGTATAGTCAGAACACATTGGGTTCAACGGCGGGTGGGATTGCCAAAGTCTTTTTCCCCCAGACACCTGCTATTTTCCGTTTTTTTATTTTTTGCCAAGTATATAAGTTGTGGGCTTACTGTATTAATATTTTACCACATAGAAAAATCATTCTATTCATTTACATTTATGTTATGTTATGTTATTTATTTATTTCCGTTTCTGTGCAACCAACATTCAAGCAGCTACTCTTAAATTCCATATCAACTCCGTATGGCTTGTTTGTGGATCAAACATCCTAATAATTCTATGGAATTTAAATTCTAACAGTATAAAATACAATATAAGAAATAAAAGAAGCAATAGAAATACAGTTAAAAACCATACAGCACCTAATACCACACATTACAATTGTTACACCAGGCAGACAAATCATAAGGGGGTTCAGCAATATCATCAGCAATTTCCAAGTGGTCCATGGCAAAAAAGTTTAGGTACCACCACTAGCCCAGACCATTCACATTGTGTTGGTTACTTTCCAGACCAATTTCGCTGCAGACAGGTGGTGTCCCTTCACTCATACATGCAAACAGACATAAGACTGTGCACATTTTTGGAAGCTGATCCCTGTGACAACATCCCAAACTGTGCAATAAACTGAAAAAGGAGGACACTGGGAAAGCTCAGTTGGTAGAGCATAAGACTCTTAATCTCAGAATCATGGGTTTGAATCCCACATTGGGCAAAAGATTCCTACAATACAGTACAGGGGGTTGAACTAAATGACCCTTGTGGTCCCTGCTAACTGTACAATTCTATGATTCTAAGACATCAGAACAACCACATGTGTATAAGATACCCATCTTCAGACACAAGATTGAATAAATGCATACAAAAAGGCAAGAGGCATGGAAGGAAGAAATTCAGATGAATGCATTTACAGAACAATTTCTTTCAGTCTTCAGCTGTTAACTCTATGGAGGAGACCTGCCATGTCTGAACCTAAACCACCTTGTGACCTTCCCCTAGCTGTTAATACATCAAAGGTACCTTGCGCACAAACTATTCCTGCATAATCTTTCCCCAGATAACATGCCTGCCGGAACAGACATCAGCAAGCATTTAGAGAAATAGTATCTGCATATTTACAGGATGGTTGGGAGTGAGCAACAATCACACTTCTCCTTAGCTTACGGGAAGCAGTAAATGTTTCTATTCTTAGTCAAAACTATTGAAGTCTTCGTATTCTGAACCTAAAGACCACAAAACATCTCTGGCCAGTGATCTGCAATTAGGTTATTAGGAGCCCCAGAAGGCTGCTTTCTCTAACAGCGCCCCGCCCAAAGAATTCAAAATTTGCCAGGCACCAGGCTCATTTTGCACCTGGCTATCGGCCACTGGCGACCAACTGATGATGCCTCGGTGCCAGGATGGTTGGTGCTGACATCGCCACCATCTGGAGGTGCATGACTGGGGAGCCCTGGATCTTGACCGTTTTCACGCACCAACAACACAACCTATAGAATTCTGCCTGTGATATTTTATCTGCACGATCAGAACGAATCAGAACCCAAAAGTTGTCTTTAAAAATATGACTTTTGAGCTGTCTGACCCCAAAATGGCAACTAGGCATTCTGTTTCGGAGACTGTAATCCTGGTTTAAGGAGTCATTTGGCACCTAGCTTATATCTCCAAGTGTCTAACACTGTATCTCTCTCTCTCTCTCTCTCTCACACACACACACACACACAACTAATTACTATCTGCTGGGCAGAGAGGAAAACGGGAACAATAAATGTACAGTGGTCGCTCGGGTTGTGAACGTGATCCGTGCGGGAGGCACGTTCGCAACCCGCAGCGCCGCATCTCTGCACGCGAGGGTTGCGATTCGGCGCTTCTGCGCAAAGCGCGGTTTAGTGCTTCTGCGCATACGCGAGCACCGAAACCCAGAAGTAACCCATTCCAGTACTTCTGGGTTTTGGGGCATCCGTAACCCGAAAACGGGCAACCTGAAGCATCTGTAACCTGAGGTATGACTGTACCTGTCTTTCCACCTTGCAGAATATAGCGTGTGTGTTGGGGGGGGGGCGAAATGATTTGCCTCAGTTAAACACCCTCGCCCAAAGCACCACTTCCCAAATATTCCACTCAAACCACCCCATAGGCCCATGTAGCCCTGCAACCTTCTTCTCACTGTGGCCGGCCAGATGAAACTTTAAGTACAAAATTAGCTGTGGGGGATCCTAATCACATTCAGTCTGGCCTGGCTGAAATCTTGCTCCTTAAGGTAGGTCAGGGTTATTGTCCCCAGGATACTGCAGTGGGGTGGGGGGTGGACTGAAGCTGAGAAAGACAAGGCAGCTTGTCTAAGGTCACCTAGTGAGTTATTGGCAGGGGCAACATTTGAACCAAGGACCCCAATTCTCTATGCCTCTACAAGGATGGAGTGGAGCCTAGCAACAAAAACAGGATCCAGAAGAATAGAGCACTGCATAGTTACGGGAAAATGTTAGTTATTGTTCCACCACTGTGCGTGTCTCAAACGTCAGCTAACCCTGACAGAAACTGAGCGAACAGCAGCTAGAATTTTTGTTAAAGTGAGAAGTGGGTTAAACCACAGAGCCTAGGACTTGCCGATCAGAAGGTCGGCGGTTCGAATCCCCACGACGGGGTGAGCTCCCGTTTCTCGGTCCCTGCTCCTGCCAACCTAGCAGTTCGAAAGCATGCAGTGCAAGTAGATAAATAGGCACCACTCCAACGGGAAGGTAAACGGCGTTTCCGTGCGCTGCTCTGGTTCGCCAGAAGCGGCTTAGTTATGCTGGCCGCATGACCCGGAAGCTGTACACCGGCTCCCTCGGCCAATAAAGCGAGATGGGCGCCGCAACCCCAGAGTCATCCATGACTGGACCTAATGGTCAGGGGTCCCTTTACCTTTTTATTCTAGGATAAGGGATGAAAGGTTACCTGAGATGTTTAAAATCAATACTTCTCGAATAAAATTGAATTCATGCGCCTCTTTTAAGCACCTTAAAAGCCTGCTTTTACTTTAACCAGGGAGTTTAAAAGAGGTGCATGAATTCATTTTATATTATAAATGGGTAAGGAACAGCGAGGAAGAAAATATGTGATCTGAAGTCAAGGATGATAAAATTTAACTAGGACGATAAATTTAACATGACACATCACGTTACAGAAATTAATGCAAGTGATGGATATTTGTGACTCCAGCAACCAAACATCAGAAAGGTTTACTTTCCATCTCACAAAAGATCTGCTGTTGCCCGGTAATTACCAGCTCTGTTTATGGAAATTTCTGGGCACTTAGCCCACATTCCAGCACACCTAACTTCAAGCAGGATTGTGGCCCTTTTTCTTCATGTAAAGTGATATTCTTGCCTAAATCATCCTTATTCTAAATAAATCCACTCTGGTGCTACGGAACAACAATATAAACCTAGCCCTTTTCTTTTAGACAGAAACTTAAACTTATAGCCCAATCCTAATCAGGTCTACCCAGAACTAAGCCCTGTTGAGTCCAGTAAGGTTTGCTCCTAGATATGTGGAACTTGCTTTCTGAGTAGGCGTGTATAAAAATGAGCTGTATGATTAGGAAATTTCTTGTTACAGGGTAAGATGGGAATGAATGGGATCCACACATGCCATGATTGTGGGATATTATTTTCAGTTAGATTTGATGGATTTCATTTTCGTATCTTTTATATTTTCTTTCACTTCGGCTGAATTGTGTAATATCACAAACTTCTACACACAGAGAGATAGCTCTTCCATTTAAGCACTATTTACCGGTTCCAAACCCTGGTTCACTTGGACAAATAAAATTACTGCACAATCCTAACCATGTCTACTCAGAAGTTAAATCCAATTTAAGCCAGTGGGGTTTACTTCCAGTTAGGTGGTGTTAAGAATTCAGCCTTAGTTTAGAGAACGCCCACATCATTTTTCAGTGTTCAAGAAACTTAACAAATCCTACAATCTACTTACTAGTTTTCAAACACTGTAGAAAAACAAATACTACTACTGAACACACAGTACCTTTTGCTCCAGAATTATGATACTGAAATGCAAGCTACTCTAGAATAAACACAGATTGGGAAGGAGGGAGTGGAGATTAAGTCAACGGGGAGAACACAATCCCCTGGTCACCTCGTGTCCCCAAGCACTGCTTCATGTCGATGAGGAGAGACACTATAGCGCAAATCCTTCCCAAGATTTGCGGCCTCATAGCAGATACATTTGTCTATTTATCTAATTCATATCCCGCCAGAGGATCCCGGGACGGTATACAGGCGGAACGGCGTTCTAAACACCCCACATCTTAACAGCGCGTGGGTTTTTATTACGGCACTCTGCACATGCCCAGGGGTACCATTGGCGCTGGTTCTCATCTTCCGCAACTGAAGCGGGGGGAGGGATGCAAAAATAAAAATAAATCAACAATTAATTAAGGCAGAGGAGGAACTCGATCATTTGCTGGAATGAGAAGGGGAAGCAAGAAAAAAGAAGAAAAATATTTCCCAAGATTTGCGGCCCGATGGCAGATTCATTTGTCTATTTATCTAACTTATATCCCGCCCTCCGCCCGAAGATCCCAGGGCGGTATGCAGGCAGAATGGCGCTCTAAACACCCCGCATCTTAACAGCGCATGGGTTTTTATTACGGCACTCTGCACGTGTCCAGGGGTACCATTGGCGTTGGTTCTCATCTTCCGCAACTGAAGCGGGGGAGGATGCAAAAAAAAAAACCCACCACCAATTAATTTGCTGGAATGAGAAGGGGAAAGGGGGTAAAAAAATAAGAAAACACAACACGAAAGGGATCCCGCCGCCGACCTACCAGAAGAAAAGCCGCGAGCAGAAGTTGGCACCGCGCAAAGGGTTGCGCTTCTCGTCCCGGGAAGGCAGCGCCTCCATCGCGCGCCGGGGAAGGAGCGCAAGGCGCCGCAGCAGCCGCAGGCGACGCCGATCGGCCGGGACCCGGCAGCCCAGTGGCCCGGCAGCCGCGGCTTTGCCGGGAAAGAGCCTCCCCCGGCGAGGCAGGGCAGGACAGCCGCCGCCGCTTCCGGGAAACCCGACACCCTCGACCTGCAAGCCGCCCGGAGGGCCCTAGAGGGAGCTGCAGCCGCGCAGCGATCCGAAAGGAGGGGAAGGGAGGAGACAGGCAGGCGCGCGCCCGCCCGCCCGCGCGCTCCAAGATCTAATCGGTTTCCTTTCCGGTCCGCTCATCGCTCGCAGGGAATCCCGCTCCTGGGATCAGAATCGGAAGAGTCTTCCTTTGCACCAGCCACTACGCGTAGCAATGAAATGAAATGAAATGTTACGGAACTCAGCTACAGTCAATACCTTTGGGGGTTTACATCAATAATCAAATAATATTTAATATATAGTTAAGATAAAGGTAACAACTCAACTCTAGACAATAGCCCACTGGCCACTTAACTGCTCTCTTCTCCATCGGCTGGGGAGCTTTTTCTGGGACTCTTGCGGGGCATGATAGCACCCTTTGTCGTTTGAGCATCTTTATCAAAATGCTAAGAGATCTGCCTGCCTTTGATCAGTTGTGCTTCAAGGGAAGCTCACCAGTCCTCTGATTCTTTCATATTTTCCAGCCCAGATAGATGTTAACCAAAGGATCTCACCATAGTCATCTCCTTGCAGGAGCAAGGAAGCACAGGAGAACCAGATGCACCACAAGAGCATCTTGGATGGGATGGCTTTCAAAGAGGGCTA